TCATTTTCATAAAAGTGTCACAAAATATTAACAAAATGGACAACCTCTGTCTTAAAGTAATAAAATTTTAACAAAACAAACTTTTTTCTATAACATAAACTAATTTGTTACATGTTAATCAAATCTTTAGTAAATTAATAATATTATACTATTTGTATCAGTCTCATGCGTCAGTCATAGTATCCTTATCATCTGTGCAATCTCGGCAGTACAACATTGCATGCTCACTGCAGATGTATTTGCATATACAGCTCCGAAAAGTATTAGTTTTCTATCTATTTTGGCAGAACAGTCTTGGCATCTCTTTCTTACACAAATTATCTTCACAGGTGGCTCCTCATCAGGTACCTACTCCTAAAAACTCTCTTATTCTTTTGCGCATAAGTCTTGGCAACTGAATGACATCTTTACGATTGCGCAAATGCTCACGAACCAGTATAAGGCTTAAGTTTCTTTAGAAATTGGCGTTATGTAATATGTATGCATTTATTCCAGACATATTTGCCAAAAATAACAAAATAAACAATATAAAACAACAATAAAACATTTTTTTAAACGGCGCAAAATTACGACACGAATAGTATGGTTGGGTCATATTTACCTTTTTCGTGTTTGGACGTGTCTATCACTCGCTGCGGCCGCAACACGACTGATTGGCGAATCCCACGTGGAGGGGGGACCATTAGCTCCAGCTACTGAGAAGTTTGGCAAAGTCGCACAAACATTTTAAGAATCACGCTCATTTGAAAACTGCTCGGGTCAAATAGACCCAACTGTGCGAACGCCGGGTTAATGATTAGTATGCCTGCGTGATGCGATTGGCAACGATCGTACGATAACACGGTGAAATCTCATCGTGCGAAGCCAATTAGGACGACGCCTTATACGTCATTTTGCCAATTATTTAAGAGCCCTATTACAAATCTGCACTCTGCGAGAATGGGTATTTGAAGCGTTCCCGACAACTTATTGAAGGTCACGAGTTTACAATACTGTGTTGAACCTACGACCAAGCTATGATACTTTTAAGATTATGATACTTTTATCCAAGTTTTGTATATTTTTAGTATTTCTATGTAGTAATTCGTTATCGCTATACCCGCTCATTATTAGAGTGCCATGGAGGTTCTCATATGTGAATAAACAGATTAAATGAAGATGATACCTAAATAAGACAGATGATATTTGTTCAAAACAAAATTTATTTTTTATGTTTTTCGTTTTAGATTAAAATAGAAGATTAGATATTCATTATTATTTATATATTATTATAGATATATATTACTATTATTTTTGATTATTAACATGACAGTATAAAACACCCTAAGTCAGAACTACCTATTTGCCAAAGGACATTGGGCCAAAATGTATGGACGCTGCACCCACGTCCGCCACGGCTTAAACTACATTTGTTTGAAAGGTATTATAGTCATGATCATCTGTGCCAAAGCGCATCAAATTCTATCCCGGGAGTCTTAAGTTATTTTAAGTTAAATAGGTACAAGTACTATAACGAAAGAACATTAATGAAACAAGGGAATTAATTTCGTTAGTTAGTTCGACACTACATAGCTCAGATATTATGGGAGTACTTCGCAAGGTTCAAGGGTGGCCCCTTATGTTATTCTGCAGTACTAGAGAAAATCCAAAAATCCCCGCATGGGTTGGGGTTTTTTCAAATATTCTGTTCGTTATAGTAAATTGTCTTCTTTGTAAAACGGAGTGTCCGCAAATCACCCAACCTTGTCCACGCTTCGGAGAAAACATGATTCCAGTTCATCCATACTAATTAACAAAACCGATAACCGTGTTCTAATGTCCAAAGCGTGTTAGATAAAAACCAATAAAGTGACAGGCAGCGCACAATTACAACGAAGTAAGACGTGTCGATTATTTGCACTTGCATTTAAGTCCTTCAACCCCCGTAAACCGTTTTGAGGTGGCTCAGTAAGTGCAAGCGCAGGGTGGTCGACAGGCTTTGTTTTCTATATGGTTGTATAGTACGGTATAGCATATTATTATGGTTACTAATAATATAAAATGAATTTATTTACCTACTTAAATATGCCTATGTGTCATATCTTTGACTACCAGGATATTTTTTACGGTGTCATATCTTTTGACTCCCAGAATATTTTTTTCGGTGTTATAATAAAAAAGGTTAGATTTTAATAGATCTATCGATTCATACTAATTACATTGTTGGCGGAGCTGGGTGTGTTTTGCCCATTGTCCTTTCAATCAAATCGATCTAATGGTTTTTGTGTGAAAAAGCAACAGTCATGAGCTTATTTCAGATTCATCATATTATAACCTGCCCGCTGAGAGAATGCGTTCTTGACATTTGTCAGTTAGTCATATTATAACGGTATATTACTCTTAGCCCCCGCGGTATCCTGCTATGAGGTGGCCAATAGGAATACCCTGTTACGAGTAACTCACAGATGTCAGAAATGTACTCCCTCAAAAATAAAACATTTTTCTTGTAACGAATCAAACTCTAACTCAATATCATTTATTCAGTCTAGGCTGTTACAAGTATTTGTGAATGACGAAATGCTATGCCACCGGTTCGCAAATCTACGGCGGGAGACCTTGTACTGAGAAGAACCGGCAAGAAACTCAGCAACGGCTCTTTTTCTCCCTGCCATTATATACAAAGCCGTCAAACTTAAAAATGACTTCAATATGAGATAATTCATGAAGTCATTTTCCGTTACAAACACAAATAAAATATATAAAAAATACTAACACTTTAAAAATACTTATTTAACACATACTTTAAGAACGACGTGTAGGACACTTAAGACATAATAAAAAAGTACGATTACAGTCAAATATAACGATATCATTATCAGCCGACGGACGTCCACTGCTGGGCATAGGCCTCCTCAAGGGATTGCCATAAGAAACGATCCTGCGCTCTCCGCATCCAGTAGGTCCCCCTGACTCGCTTGATGTCGTCACTCCACCTCGTGAGGGGTCTACCGACACTGCGCTTCCCGGTTCGAGGTCGCCATTGAAGCTCCTTTTGACCCCATTTAATGTAGCAAGAGCAGACCCATCTCCGCTGGCAGCACCCATTAACCAGCATGACGCATGAACCAGCCATCGCTTCGCTCAACCATGTTTTAGGGAACGTAACGATCCGCCTCACATGGCACCGCCAGAGACTTTTAAGAGAGCATGACTATTCCCAATTACATATGGATGCTAGATTGCAAATAGAAAAAAAAAAGAAATAAGTACCCGTGTACATTATTACAAAAACCACAACTGCAGGACATATGCATGTGATTACCTATACACTATTACATCTTAAATAGAAAAATAATATGTAGTTGTTGACCTACATTTGATTGCTGTGTCAAAAATCAATTAATTATCATTACAATAATACAGTAGTGATAATGTCGGGATATTTTCTTTATCCATCGGAAATAATAATAATGCTTTCTTGGCAGAGAAGTTATTCATTCTGAAACAGTGACATTATAAATGATTAGTGCTGAATATTTCTTAAACTTTAGCAGGGTTAATAGAGTTTCACATCAGGTGCACCAGACATTCGATTTTTAGGTCATTACAAAATACTCATTGTGTCTACATTTGTATCTCTTCCAGTTTGGCTGGGCTGCTATAGTTCCAAATTAGTTATTCCTATCTTCAAAATAATATTTATTACAGAGGACGAATAGCAATACAAAAACAAAATTTCATCAAAATCATAAGAAGACAATTTAAAAAAAATGCAAAATTGGCCCGTTTACATTTTTATTATATGTTAATATTATATATGTATGGTATGCCAAAAATTAATATTAAAAGAATAATTGAACACAATGCTATGTAGATTCCATATAAAACAAACACTTAAAAGAATTATACTTACCTGATCAAAACTTGTTGGTCGCACTATACTCTGACGCTCGATCGATTATGGCGCAAAATATGAGAAAAAAATGACACAGGTCCGACGCTGAGGAGCGCTCGCGCAGTACTGAGTTCCGACGACCGGCGCATCGCATTTTGTAGTAATTTTGCAGTTGTATTTATCGTATTAATTGAAATAAGTGAATAAATTCATGCTTTAAAATTATAAAATCTTTATTCCTCATGAAGTAACAATTGTTCTGGTATAAATTTTGCTTAGTAATATTAACGTAAATAGGAGTAAATCGCAATTAACTTTAAGCGATTTTCGAAGATTTTTAGGTTTAGAATAAGTTTTTTTCTATATTAAATCAAAGATATTTCAAAATTCTAAGGCCGCTACGAACTGTACGACTATATAGGAGATAACATTCTCATTTTTTTATTTAATTTGCTTAGAACAGTAGTTCAATCCAGGAGCTCAAAAAAGTGCCTTCGCGCATTTTATGAAAATCTTTCTCTGCAATTTTGGATTTAATTAAAAAGTTAAGCAAAATTTACAAAAAGCGAGGCCGCTACGAACTAGGCCAATAGTTATTCTGCACTATTCAAAAGATCAAAATTATTAATGTATATTTGTTTCTGAGATCAAGAACGCCAATTTACGCAAAAATCACAGTCGAGATGTAATATGCCTCTTAATAGGCGCTGGCGCTGCTTCACCTTGCGTGTTGTGTTGGAACATTAGATTTCTTTACTATGACAATTACAAAATAAAAAGCGTTGTCTTGTAAAAGATTTTATTAATATTTCAAACGCAATTACTATGTACAAATTACTTTGTAAAAATATTTAATCTTGTCTTATTATTACTTACTGATTCATTTATTGTGGGCAACACTTTATAAAACATAGTATAGAAAAAACAATTATGAAAATTATTATGAAAAATAGACATTGCATTTATTAATTTCTCCAATAAGTACTTACAAACAATAATTAATAATTCTCTCGATGACAATCCATAAAATTAGATACCTACTTACATAATTAATTCCCACATAAATAAAATTAAGGAATATACCTTTGCAATAATGGCATTATAGATAAAAGAACAAATAACAACATGGCGATAATAAATACTAATTTTAAGCATAATACGTTAATCATTCAAACTTCATTGTTTAAACTTCATCGACATGAATTTCAATGACAGGAATATTCTCTAAACTGAGAAATATGCTGAATATGTAAGCTGGATACCTAGTCTTGTGTGGAATATAAGTGTATATTCACAAATCAAACTAAATATAGTTTACCAAATACAGAGGCACATTCACATTCTTTAGTGCGTGCGAGGATACGTCTGTGGCATACACTTTCTATTCTTTCAATAGCTTTCATAAAACATGTATATAATATATATCATATCAAGTTATACAAATATTTCGTTACCTTGCAATTCCCTTATACAGACACGCAAAGGCTTCGGGCACGAGTGAAAGCACGAACAAAGTGACGACTGACTGAAAACTGACGGAAAAAAAGTATTGCGTAATATTTGTCCACCGAAGAAGATGTAATAAACATGGAGTCATTTACGCAGTCTCTTTTTATAATATCGAGTAGTAATATTCAAATACTTCATTAATGACATTACACTAAACACGGAGAGTATAATTATGTTTCATTTGCTCGATCTGTATGCCGTTTAAAGGACTGCAAATGAGCCACCTTGCTAAGCACCGCGCTAACGAAAATGTCATCTACAAGATCGAATTTGGAGGTTCGGAAACTTGTAATTAATATAACATAATATATTATACTGAGTTTAACTTAGATAACTAAGAGGAGGAATAGACATGTGACTTAGGCAAATCAAATAGTCTCGAAACGAAGACAGAGACACGAATGTTATACTACGCTACACTAGCCAGTGGCCCCTGTACGCGTATTTTAGGCACAGTTAACACACCAATGTCGCATTATACACCCGTTGACGTGTCTGATTAAGGATTTCCGTCTCCATGTCACAGGATTTCTAGGCGATCGTGTCGCTTGATAACAATGCATCCTTTGTTGGTCATACGCTTCGATCAACACATAGATATCCCACTCGTGTTTGTATACGCGTCGTAAAGAGCTCTACGCACTATCCATCCTGCTGGATCCAGCCTACGAGATAGCGCTATACGCGTAAAAGAGATTCTGTATCTACATCTCTTTTACGTTTATATTGGTGTCCCGCACGCTGGATCTAACAAGATGGATAGTGTGTAGAGCACAGACCTAGATTAAAGAAGACGCCGCATGCACTTCAAATTGTATGAACATTTTGAGTACTCACGAGAACCAATAAGTGGTGAAAAAGCATGGGCCCCGGTCACCTATTTCTAGGCTAGGCCTGGCATAGTGAGGAGCTCGTGCGTGGACGCGGTGATATCTCTTTCTTTCTGTGTCTATGCTAAGGCGTAGAGTGCGGAGAAGAAGTTTAGCGCCTGGGCCCCCAGGCGCTTTAGGGGCGGGGAGGGGAGGGGCGCAGCAAGCGCCCGGCATGGTGGGGAACTAGTTTTTTTTTGGAGTGTGTATGCTGTTGGTCGTAGATGACCTTTACAGCGTCACCGGAATTGGGGACGGCGAGATCCTAAGGAGACCTCAAGCCGAGAATTGGCGAGTGGCTCTAGCTAGAGGTATTCCAGGCGGATGGCATCTCCCCACGGGGGGTCTCGGTCTGGAGCCTCTAGACCACTCGAATCTGAGGGGGGGGGGGGGGGGGGGGGGAACTAGTGCGTGGATGCGATATTATCTGTCTGTGGCGTAGAGGAGTGAGAAGGAGCAGTTTAGCGCCTAGGTCCCCAGGGAGTTATGGGTGCTGGGGAGGGTTGCGCAGCGGGCGGGGAGCGGCCGGCGCCCGGCATGGTGGGGAACTCGTGCGTGGACGCGGTATCGGGCGCACGCTGCTCCCACGGCCCACCCTTCACCACGAACCCAGCAGGGCCGGCGTTGGCGCCAACGTTGGCCCCAGTGTTGGTCGTCGGTTGGTTCTCGTTGCCAGCGGCGGCTAGCACGTCCCCGAAATCGCCGAGCGACGGCGCAGCCGGCCGCTGGTATCTGTCCACCACGTCTTGCAGCTGGTTGAGCAAAACAATAAACATATTATAATAAAATTCAGTATCCCAAGGACGAACAACAAAGCACCATCGTCAAAGTTTCTATGGAAAGAGCTAGTTTAAATATTTCCAACACTCACACCAATTAGCCTAGTCCCAAAGTAAGCACTGTCAGGCTTGTGTTATGGGATACTAGGGTAACGGATAGAATACATATAGTACTGTACATAATATACACTGGTCATCAAAAAAATCGACCCACCTCGCTTTTGCACTATTGCTCTTGATAATTTCAAAGATAAGCGTTTAGAAGTACGTTTTGTTTATGTCTAGGGTCGGATTAGATGTTTGACATTTGATTCCCATAAATCTTAACGCACATGAGGGTACTTAATAAAAATTTTAAAGTAAACACTGCTCAGTGCCGTTTTGATGAATGCGTCCGTATTCACTTTGGCCCTGTTTAATTCCCAACCAGGTGTTTATAACAGTGTAATTGTTATTGACGATTCTTACTTTATTGATTATCACTGTAATTCGTATTAAATTAGCCTGGAATTATGGATACTACTGAAGCGGAATCGGCCCAAGTTGTGCTTTGCTGCGAGAGGGTTTCAGTCAACGTGTTGTCGCTTGAAGATTACATCTCAGTCGATCTGCGGTTCGGAGAGTTTACCAGAGGTTTCAAGAGACTGGGCAGTACCGTAGAAGAACAGGATCTGGAAGACAAAGGGTCACTACTCAAAGAGATGACCGGTTTATTGTGATATCGGCTCTAATAAATCGGTACCTTTCTGGCGTAGATCTCCAGCGACGGCTGCGTGATGTGCGGGGTGTGGCTATAAGTGACAGTACGGTGAGAAGAAGACTTCGTGAACAGAACTTAAGACCTCACAAACCAGCAACAGGACCACAACTGACCGTAGCTCATCGTCAAGCCAGACTTCAATTTTCGAGGGAACATCTTGAATGGACTATAGACCAATGGGCTTCAGTTCTATTCTGTGATGAGAGTCGAATGACTTTATACGGCTCTGATGGGCGCAGTAATGTCATGAGAAGGTCAGGTGAACGTTACGCTCAGTCCTGTATAAGAGAAACTGTCAGTTATGGTAGAGGCTCTAAAATGTTTTGGGGCGGGATATCTTTGACAGCACATACAGAGCTGGAGTTTATCAGAAGGGGTTCTCTTACTGCTCCACGTTACATAACGGAGATCCTAGAAGATCATGTCGTGCCGTATGCAGGCTACATCGGAAAAAACTTCGTGTTTATGCATGATAATGCACGGCCACACGTAGCGCGCATTGTTACTCAGTACTTGGAAGAGGTCGGCATTCGGGTTATGCAGTGGCCAGCAAGAAGTCCGGATTTAAATCCTATAGAACACATGTGGGACACGCTAAAACAGAAGGTTAGAGCTCGAGAACCCGCCCCTACAACCTTAGAAGCGTTGGAAACCGCCATAAATGAAGAATGGGACCGAATTCCTCAAGGAACCATCGCCGTTTTAATAAGATCAATGAAACGGCGAATGCAGGCAGTGATTAGAGCAAGAGGGGGGAACACCGAATATAAACGTAGAAGTTTTGTTCCAATAACGTATAAGACTAAAAAGTTACACGCACATTAAAATAGGGTTAAAATGGCGATTTCTTTATTTTTTGTTAAAATGTTAAATTTTGATCTTTAAGATCAATAACTTTGTGACTAATTAAAAAAAAAGACGTTGTTTAGTGAACAATTACAATTATAATACAATTTGTTTCATTCAAAATATTAAAACATGAGTTTTTCTGTAAAATGTAGGTGGGCCGATTTTTGTGATGACCAGTGTATTAGTATATTTATGTAGGAATACGTTTTTCATTATGAGGAGCTCGATGGCGCATGTGGTTAGCGCGTTCAGCTGCGATCGTTGAAGTTAAGCAACTTTCGCAATGGTCGGTCATTGGATGGGTGACCAAAAAATTTACTATCTCGAGCTCCTCCGTGCTTCGGAAGGTACGTTAAGCCGTTGGTCCCGGCTGCATCTGCAGTCGTTAGCACCCACCAATCCGCACTGGGCCCGCGTGGTGGGTCATGGCCCAATCTCCCTATTCCATCCATAGGGAAGGCCTGTGCTCCAGCAGTGGGGACATAAATAGGCTGATGATGATGATGATGACGTATTAAACATCTATGACTGGAGTACAAATGCTTGTATTCATCACATACATCTGCCCCCACCAGGATTCGAACCCGGGAACTCTCGAGTCGGCGACACCATGAAACCAGGCGTACAAACCACTCGGCCTTCAACATTTTCTAACCTAGCAAAAAAGAGTGGGTGGCTTTTATGAGGTAACGTAGTGTTAACTTCTGGTCAAAGTGACAGTACTTGTACCGTTTGAAGTTTAAATGTCAGCCGCGTTTATTCACACATATGTAAAACTCCATATTACCCAGAGGAACGATTCAGCGACATATTCGAAAGCAGATTTTTTAATAAAAAAAATCTAAGGAATTTCCCAGCAACATGTTAAATAACTAAGTAAATAACGTAAGATAGTTTCCAAAAAGTTATCTACTACCCTTTTGTGATCTAAAAAGTAATCAATATTAACAATCTAAGTCATCATTATCATCATAATCATCAGCCGAGATGGACGTCCACTGTAGGACATAGGCCTCCACTAATAATTTCCAAACACAATGGCCGTGCGCTTCCAGTTGGTCCCCTGACTCACTAGATATCGTCAGTCCACCTGCCTGACGATATACACTTCTTGACACATCTATTGGCCCACCTTAGAGTTTAGGTTTCGATGGCCCCTACCGAAATATGATTGCTAGATTGAACAAAAACTGTTGATGCAGTTTTAAACCTGATACATTTTACCATCTTTTTCGATCGTATTGTTTTAAATTTGAATTCAGAATACCATACGACATGGAGCTACGCCTAACAAGTCGGATATGCGCCTTGTTAAAGGCAATTGATTTTTGAATGAAAAACATGTTTTATCAAATAAAGGTTTAATTTAATAACGAGTGTTGCCTCCATGGGCATCTACCACAGCTCTTATACGATTAGGCATAGAGTTTATCAACCGCTCTATGGAATTTTGAGGGATCATCTCTCATTCCTCTTCTATGGCAGTTTTCAACTCCTGCATCGTCTGGGTAACTGGCTGACGAGCCCTAACACGTCTTTTTAGCTCGTCCCACATGTGCTCAATGAGGTTCATGTCTGGGCTTCTGGCTGGCCAGTCCATAACTGTGATGTTCACATCCCGAAGATATTCCCTGACGATGCCGGTCGCATGGGTTCTTGCATTATCATGCATAAAAAGGAAATTTGGGCCCACATAGTCCGCGTATGGTATCACGTGAGGTTCTAAGCACTGACGAATGTACCTTTCAGCATTTAATGTTGGCCAGCCGTGGTCCTGTAACAACCTCAAGTTGAGTTTTGCCGCTCGCGGATATACCGCCCCAGACAGTCCATGAGCCACCGCCATAAGCAACCCTCTCTTCAAAGCAGCATTGTGCGAAACGCTCTCCCTTACGTCGGTAGACCTTCTTCCTTCCATCATTGCCATGTAACACAATTTTAGACTCATCAGAAAAGAGTACACGACTCCAATCTTGCTGTGTCCAATTTAAATGACTGCGTGCGAAATGAAGGCGCGCTGTTCGGAGGGCTCGCGTTAGTTTGGGCCCATTAGCTGGCTTGTGTGGTACCATATCGCGTTCTTTTAACCTTCTCCGAACAGTTCGAGCGCTCACAGATACTCCGTGGAAGTCGCGAATTTGTTTTTGTATCTCAATGGAGGTAAGGTGACGATTTCTCAAGCTGGTCGTCACGATGAATCGATCCTGCCTTTCAGTTGTGACCCGAGATCGTGGCCTTCCTTGGCGATGAACAAAGCCGCCAGTCTCTAGGTACCTCCGATAAACATTTCGGACCGCAGATCGACTTAAATTAAGTTGAGCACTCACGTTTCTTTGGCTGTGTCCGGCCTAAATAAGTGCCACAGCTTGGGCGGCGACTTCAGGTGAAGTATCCATAGATTATTGATAGAACCTCACCTTAATGTTAAGAATAAGTAATGTTTGTTACAAAACCAAAGATATCAATCACTTTTTCAAGAATTAAATCCAAGTAAAACAATAAAACCAAGTTTTCTTAGTATTCGATTGTTTGATATCAATAACACAAACAGGCTCCAATTTGTCTTTTGTTTCTTTAAATTCTGTGTTCGAAATTCAAAAAAAGACTGTCGACGCAACTTTGAAGATTGCAGCGGCAATAAATAAAAGATGTTGATTTTCAATGAAAATTTACTTTAACACCGGTAGGTTATAATCAGTTGTTTTTTCTTAACAAATTGACATAAAAATAATACGACCGAGTTAAATCGCTTTATATAATTTCAGTCGGGTTTTACGAATGTGCCCGAACGTTGCCGATGACTGATTGGCGCTTCTTTTGAATCGATTTAATCGTGAACATCCTCCGGGGCATTGAAAGCAGACTTTCAATTTTCATCGCGCGCTGGATGAAGGTGAATGACGGAAACAAATGGCTTTACTAGCAGTCGTTGGTGTGTGGTGGTGGAGAACACTGTCATCAAGACACTCTTGTGGTTTCCTTATTACTCGTATCGGTATTTATTGGTAGAGGACATATCTTGTGAACAGTTCGTTTTAGGGTTCCTTTGTTAATCAGTACATCCACAACTCGAACAACTCCATCAGTGCCTGGGTATAGACGTGCAATACGGCCCATGCGCCAATCCAACGGCATCAAGTTGTCTTCTTTGAGTACTACAAGATCGCCAAGTTGCGGGTTATTACCATCCCTCTTCCATTTAGTACGTATTTGGAGCTCTGCTATAAACTCCCGGCGCCATCGTTCCCAGAAATGTTGTCTTATTTTCTCAATAAATTGTTATCGGTTAGGTCGAATAGCTTGAACAGGCATTGAAGGCACTGAAGGCCGGCCGATCAGAAAGTGCCCGCGAGTCAAAGGATTA